GGCTGAACTAGTGGTAACGTTCTAGACTCGTATTAGAGAGCTGCTCAGGGCACCGGGCATCGTACGCAAACTTTGTTGTGATTTTCATCAGTCCCTCTAGGAAAATTCTAGGATAGTACCAACATTAAGCAACGATATTTCCTTCCAAATTTCTTCCCATTTGTTATTCATTAATCATTCGGTTTCTGCTAGTGCGTAATGAAACAGACTTATCTAAGAGAAAGGAAGGCAAAGTTAGTGTTGGGTTTCCTTCATCCAAGGAAAATGCTCGGATGGTATCAATATTAGGCAATGAAAATTTCCTTCCAAACCCCTTCCAATTCATTATTAATTAATAATTTTACCTTTCAACGCTATAAAAAACCTCAATATTAAAACGCTCTAAAGTAACACCCTCCCCCAGAAAAGTCATATGTTAAATATAAAACAGTTCATACTCTAATGTAAAACAATAGTTTTGTACAGGTAAAAAGATAAATTTAGCCCTGGACAACGACATGTAGATGTATGGGGGAATGGAGATGTATCTCCACCATTCTTTGACAATAGATGGAGGTGAATGGTTAGCTTCACGCCCCTGACACTTTATCACCCCATCAAGGAAAGAACCAAGGCTGGGTGGGCCCCAGAGCGATCTGGACATCATAGAGAGGAGAAAAATCTATTGTCCCTGCTGAGATTCCCCTCCTGGGTCCTTCAGTTCGCAGCCTAAATCGCTACTCGCCATCGTAAGTCTTGTGCAACCCAAACTGCGGGACTTCTGTGTACTCGTTGCTGTCTGCGGACAGGACGCAAGCAGGAATGTGCACTTATGAGACCTGCTTTATAGATAGCAGGGTGTGTCTGGAGAGACTAAGTAAGATCACAAAACAGTTATCAGAGCAGCCTTCCTGCAGGCTGATATTCGAACCACTTGAGGCTATACGAACAGGACGACTGGAAAGGAAACAGAGACTATCGGGTCAGATGCTGTTGAAGCTGCCTATGAGGAAGTGGCTATGCTCTTCTTTCTTCGAAATGCCTTTCCCTAGGAATTTGACAGCTGCGCTCTGTTTTGTTGGTTTTACAAGCTTGAGACCTGACGTAACGGCACACAGAACAAGCACGGAGCTTTGTGTCGAATAATTCTCCAGCAGTTCCTAAAGGTGGTTATGAAGATCAGGGTTGAGTAAGACGTTGACAGAGGTCTTCGGCTGGACTGCGAAGTAATTTTGAGAGGTCAGAAATAGGCCTTCTATTGTTACTTATATTTTACAACATTTCTGGTCTTTCGTTCTGGAACATCATAAGAGATGAAAAGTATTCAACGCTAAGAGAAATAACCTTTTACTTAATACCTTCTCCAGTTCTGTTCCTCCTTCTCACACTGCCTTCTCGATGATAAATATCATCAGGTCGGAACATCGTTTCTCCCTCACAGGAGACCACTTTGATTCGTGTTGAAGGTTAGCTATTAGCGATAAAGAATGTAAAAAGATAAAGTTTTCCCTGTGCTTAGATAATTAAGCACTATGCCTTGAAGACGTATGGAGGAGTGGCTCTGTAGATCAATATTTTCTTGATCTCGGGACTAGTTTGAGATGAGTGGTCAGCTTCATGACTTGGCCGCCTTGCCCCCTGGGAAAGAGCCCCCGGTACCAATTGGATAGGAGGTTGGATGGACCGTAGAGCTGGTCTGAACAACATTGAGAAGTGAAAAGTCTTTTCCCCACCGAGACTCGAATTCCGACCCCTCGGTCGTCCAACCAGTAGCTACTCGCTATACCAATTGCGCTATCCCAGCTTATACCTATTAGAGATTACATACCAAAATTCACAAACCTGATGAACGTGATGCAATCTAAATCTTGTTCATCTAACTTACTGAACTATTGTTTCCATGAGTTTAATACCATAATCAATGGCAAAGCAGCCGTTTTCGAGCAAAAGCCTTCCTTAGAAGCTTTTGCCATAATGCATCCTGGTTTCACTTCTTCGGTTTTCGCAACAATGCTTTTTTACAGAGCGAGGACTTCAGCCTTGCGACTAACCCCACATAGAGGACAAGGTCCCTGTATTTATGTCCCCCAGTGACAGGGTGGCCCAGTTATACCCCCAGGTGCCGGGTTCAATTTTCGTCGACTTCTAAGTCACGCACTGCTCCGGTGCAGGTATTCGAACCCGCCACCACACTGGAAGATTTCTCATATCATTTTACACTATTACACAAGCTTTGTTTGAAACTACGCTTTTGTTTCAAAATTTCGCATTAATAACATTTTACGTTTTATATAAGTTGGTGTAAATTCCAAAATACAAATCACTATCTGAGCTTTAAGTTGCACGTCACCCTTTGAAACCTGTGTTTTGATACATTCCTTTCACCTACCGGAAAATATCCATTACGATAATTATATAATTAGGGTCCTGAGTTCTAGAAAATTTGAAAAGACCACTTGCCATGCGAAAGTTTCCCATGGCCAGATTGAGGCCATAATAGTAAGTATGATTATAACAATAACAACAAAATAATAATAATAATAATAATAATAATAATAATGAAAACGAAGGTAATGAATATTGTGTAGGTGATAGAAAGTGAAGCTATCCCTGTAGCAGACCGTGGAGGCCCATAGTATTGTAAGACTTGGAGGCTCCCACGTTTTCTCTAGAGTCTAGACAATCGGCTCACAGATGGTGGTGAGGTTGTCAGCCTTATGTGCCGGCCGCCCTTTACCCCCAGGAAGATTCCTGGTACTCGTTCCTCTTAGATGCTGAGTCGAACCTAGGGCCATAGTGCGGCTGGAGGATTAGCTCAATTGAAAAATCCAATGACCTCATCGCTAATCGAACCCGGGACCTTCCGGCTTGCAGCATGGTGAGCGATTAGATATGCGAGTAACAATTATGATAACGATGATGACCACTGTATAATAATGGTGATATTGATAGAGTAGTAGTAGTAGTAGTAGTAGTAGTAGTAGTAGTAGTAGTAGTAGTAGTAGTAGTAGTAGTAGTAGTAGTAGTAGTAGTAGTAGTAGTAATTCAATTCAATTTTTGTTTATTAGCGTGCAAACTTAAGAGCACAGAGACAAATTTCAAAGTTATCACTAGTACGCAGAAAGAAACAACAAAAAACTTACAAAATATAAAATAATGTAGTTTATATAATAATAACAGTAATTTCATGAAATATCCGATTTATCACTATCAGGTGAGAAAAGTAAAATAAGTACATTTGCAGTGGTTATGCCATTATGTGGCGAGAAAGGATAATATTCATACAGACACACATATATATGTATGTAATAATAATAATAATAATAATTATTATTATTATTATTATTAATTAATTATTATTATTATATTATGAAATATGATTAAGGAGAAATTTCTTGGTTCCGAATATGTCAACGTCCTTGCAAACAACATCAGCAAGTAGTTCACATCTAGAAGGTGGGAAATTTTGACACGAGGAGCAGACATTGATCAAAGGAATGCCTCAGATATACCGAGCAGGAATTCGAAGATCAACAATTTTCAAAAGAGAGGGACAGAATTTAGAATCAAGGTCAGCTGGAACAAGAAAAAGTTTATTGAGGCGATGTCTCATCATATACAAAGTGTACAATTTTAACTTCTCCAAAGCAAGATGGGTGCATGAAAGAAACGTTTAAAACAGAGGGCTGCAGACCTCTGCTGGATGAGTTCCAGCTTGTTGGTGTCAGTTGACGTAATCGAATTATTGACAACGGACGCGTATTCAAACGTTGATCCGACTAATGTAACATATAACCTACGCATACATTCAAGAGATGAGAAGGTGAAGGTAATACTACGAACTAGACCCAACAGCTTAATACAATGACAAACAATATGGTTAACGTGGTTATGAAAATGAAGTTTAGTATCAATAAATACTCCCAGGTCTTTTATAGAGTCAGTCCGGGTTATAGAGAATTGGCAAAGTTTATAAACATAAATTAGTACTTTGGGATATAAGGAGAAGGATACAACTTTAGTTTTTCTGATCTTGAGTTTCATACAGTTAGCAATGCACCAACCTTGTACAGATTTAATGTCAGACTGTAGTAGATTGCAGTCTTCAGGAGATCTGACGGCTTGGTAGATTTTGTTATCGTCAGCAAAAACTAGTTACTTAGAGTTGGAAACTGCATCACGCAAGTCGTTAATAAGCACATTGAAGAGAAAGGGTCCCAGGACAGATCCCTGAGGAACAGCGGATAGATTTTCAGAAGGTAAGGAAAGAATACTAGAAAAGAAGGCCTGAGATTTTCGGTTGGATAGGTAACTGTGATGATGATGATGATGATGATAATAATAATACTAATAATAATAATAATAATAATTGGAAGAATTGACGCTGGAGCAGATTTTCTTGGAGTACTCCGGTTTCTCCAACCAATTCTCATTCCACCAACTGTTCCACATTCAATAATCATACTATCATTGACGCTAACACTGACAGCATCGTCGAATGATCAACTTAATTATAATAATAGTCTATATGAACTCGATATGTACTTTGAAAAGCTATAGCATATCCGATGTCATCTGATATGTGACGTAGTGTAGTCAGAAAGGTGTTTATAAAGGTTTTGGAAGACCCTGCTGCTTCCATCTTCAGGGTAGAAGAGTTAACGGTGTGTAGAAAAGTTCAGTAATTCCATTAATAGTTCTAAAATGCTGCTCAAAATCGGTTAAAATCAGATACAAATTACTGACTATTTTTTTAATAAATTAAAATTTATTTACTTTTTTAGTCACTTTAACTAAAAAAAATACAGTTCAGGAACTACGCATATAATCTAGTTGATGATGGCCTTATGAAGTCGAAAATTATAGAAGACACAATTTTAATTTATGTCGACATGAAACACGGCAAGAAGTCGCACATCGAAAACAGCCCCTAAATCCGAAATTACATAACATTGTAATTTTTATTATAGGATGTGACACTGTGGACTAAATTCATCTGGTACAGGATGGGGTAAAGTGTCTTGCCTCTTGTGATCAAGGCAATGTTGCTTTGGGCTCCATGAAAGGCGATGGATATCTTGAGTAAGTGAAGATCTCTTGAGTTATGACAATTCTCCATGTAATCTGAAGTGACTGAGGAGTCGGCTCTGCAAATCTACAGTTACAGGAAACAGTGACACTGATTTGAGGTCAGTGTGACGGCTGTATGGTAGCAGTAATATTTTCCAACGTGCCACACGTCAGTTGGGCCTATTTTATTTTCCAGAGCGTGTCGCATGCTCTAGACCAAGGGTATCCAAACTACGGCCCGCGATGTGATTTTATCCGGCCCGCGAAAGAATTGTGCAGAAATGCGCCAATTAAACTAAATTTCCAGTGAGTACTGGTAAAAAAAAAAATTGTTCATAGATTTCAAATTCATTAATTAAGGTTGTTTTTAAAATATATTGATATTCCATATTATGTTAGTATTAATATTATTCACAATTTTACTAATTCTGGACCGCATACTGCGCGGTATTTCTTCGTACATGTTCGGCCTCGATCGGCAGTGTCACTTCGTGGCAATGTAGGTAGCGCGAGCAGAATTTTCTTCCTAGTTTGCAAATTTAGTCATTTCAGATTTGAAAGAACAATTTCGGAAGCGATTTGCTGATTTGGATGCCAGTGCTCAGGAAATCAAGAGTGTTTCAAAATCCGTTTGACTGTGATGCTGCAGATGTCCCAAGTCAAATTCAAATGGAAATTATTGAACTTCAGGAAAATTATCATATTAAAAACAAATACAAGGAAGGAAATTTGATCGAATTTTATAAATTTCTGAACTCTGAGCAATTTCCAAATTTAAAGAAATTTGCTTGTAAATTTATCTCTATTTTTGAAACGACATATCTGTGTGAACAAACCTTTTCCCAGATGAAGTACATCAAGTCAAAATACAGGGCAAATTTATCCGATGAACATTTAAGCTCGCTACTTGTGATTAGCGTTTCAAAATTTGAACCTCAATTTAATCAGATTTTAAGAATGCAAAAAGAGTTCCATCATTCACACTAATTCTTTTATTATAATTTGTGATGAAAATATGAGCATTTGCTGCTACTGTCTCTTGTCATTAATATACAAGTACGATAATTTATTCTCACGTACTTTGTATTTAGTTTATGAAATTCTGTGCTTTCAATAAAACTGATATACCTAGAGTTATTAATTTCACATTTTATCCGGCCCGTTTAAGGTGCTGAATTACCTAATGTGGCCCGCGTTTCGAAAAGTTTGGCGACCCCTGCTCTAGACAAAGGCAGGATTGTCAGAACGAGATGATCAGGCTACTGTAGCGGTAACACATGAGAAGTGAGTTTACAGCTGCAGAATAATGGCAAGAAAGGAATTAAGCTGCACAAAGAAGACTTTATGTGTGATTTGAAGTGACAGTGAGATTGTTGTAAATGCGTTGCCAGGATACGACCTAAGAAGACTGAGACCCCTAGTGCGTGTGTAACAATGAACTATAAATTGTGTAGATCAGCAATAGCCCTGTATTGGCTGTAGTCCCGAGTACTATGAATAAGGTGTCAATAAATTCAATCATCCAATTCAAAGCCCATCTATAAGTCACTCACAAACCCCCACTCGTGACAATATATGCAGTTTAGTGCAGCACATGTTCATGGGGAAGTGGAATAGCCGAGTCGGTACGAGGGGCTAAGGGCTGAGTGATCCAGGAATCGCTATTAGATTCCCCACAGGAGCAAACAACATCCAGACCGATTCATGGGGAGGGACATCCAGTCTCCAGTTCACTGGGTAAAGGGGGCTATTTTCCCGGTGGTATTGCCGCCGGGTTGAAGCTTACCATTCAACTCCATCTAGGGTCGTGATTGAAAATGCATGGAGACACACCTCCATTCCTCTATCCGTCTTCGTGACCCCGTGGTTAATTACGCTCAGGAACAGATCTACTTTCACTTTATTTCGTACTACGAAATTGGGTACGTTTATTCCATATATGCAGCTATCAGTCATGACCGTCCTGTACTCAAATGGATTGATGGATACACGAAACGTGTTTGTGAGTGTTATGCGGTGTCGTTCGGAAACTGTGTATTTGTTGCTATGTTGGTATGAGTAGGAAGCAGGAAAACCGAAATCGAAAAGTAACTTCATTTGTATCCATTCAAATTCTAGACATAATGATTTATTGACTGTTTAATATGACGTTTCTTCTATCAGCATTCAGCATAGACAAAAATCACACCGAGTAAACGATTTCCAAGGCCGTGTCGACATGAAAACAAAACAATTTCTTTCCACATTAATGCTCTGTCAGCTAATCGAAAAGAAGTCACCGAACCTGTTGTTGTCAATCGGTGAGACGTAAGACAGAATTAACACCAAATCTGTAGTTGTAAAGATTTTTGTGTCTTAGCATATATAAGCAACACAAAACGGTGAAATCATGATTCTGAGTATGTCTTAAGCATTACCTTCTAAGCCACCAAATGAATTTAAATGATATTTGGTATGGAAGGTCTACCTTCACTATTATATTTTTGGAACTTTTCATTTTGTTCCCCATCTGTCCATTAAAATCACGAATTTAAAATCAATAATGTTATCACATTTCTAAAAAAGATTAATCATAAAAAATCGTCACATGTCAAATTATACATGACATTAGTATCAACTTTTACTTGAAATATTTCCGTCTTCGTGTATATGAGAAATTTCTTTAAAGAAACTGTCGGTGAAAATAATACATGACTTCTTCGGTTCAATATTTGTTTTGTCAGCGATAGAAGGTTAAACTGTATAACGTACTATGGATTACATGTATCTGTAACGAATGACCGTGGCCAGCAATGAATGAAATACCACAGATAATGATTTGTAAATTGTGTGTACATATTTCCGGGGCAATCGACCATAACTCACCAGCGCCGTCTTGAGTCGTCACTTCCTGTTCGCAACACTGTGGCCGTGGCCCCCTACGTCGACACTACTTCACGGGCACTCAAGTGGCACATACCGTGNAACAACAGCTACCAGAATTTCTGCAACATAACATTGTTGGTTCAACGTCCTACCAATTGCTGAGAGGTTGGAGTGACTGAGGAGAGCCGTGAAATCCTCCAACAAATCGATACGTTAAGATTCTTCTTTTCTTTTATATTTGCAGTTATTTTCCTCTTACAAACTATTTTCCTCCTCCTTCTTTACCGTCTTCCTCTTCTGTTCATGTTCCTCTTTCGCTGTCAGTACTACTTTCTTGACTTAGTTCCTACAGGCAATTTACCTCAGAATTATTTGGAGCAATAGATCTGTGAGACGTAACGGCAGGCCTGCATGGAAGGAACACCAACGTATCCCAAAGTTTCTGCTATCGCAAGACAACAGTGCAATACACGTACAGCATTCATTCTGTGGGCACAGCAACTAGGTTACGGCTGGACGACCGACGAATCGGATTACGCTTCCTACATGGGACAGCGTCGAGACTGGCTCTGAGGCTCACCTAAGGTAAAGGTAAAGACGTCCCTGTGCTCAACGAATTAAACACCACGGCTTGAAAACGTATGGGAAGTGGGTCCACCCAATCTTCTATCCAAAGGTTACCGGGGGCTCTTTCCTCGGGGGTAAAGCCAGCGGGGCGTGAAGCTGACCACTCATCTCTAGTTAGTTCCGCGGTCAAGAAAATGTGAATCTGTACCTCCTGAGCCCACCTAGCCTCCTGTAAAGTGGTGCTGAATTGAGTACAGGGATAGCTTTACATTTTATTTTTATTCATTCCGTGGGCATGACTCGAACCCCTAATTAGTGACATCATGAAAGAGCTCGGGCATCAAGAAAGGTTATGAAGTAGTTCAGGGTGAATATATAAACAAAATTATATCAAGATATAGCCAAGTTTCAAAATTGATTTGCTTAGAACGGTGTCACTTTCTGGGTGCGCAATTGCTCGGTACAACCTGTTGTTAAAAATTTGGCAATCGGCAAAAAAAAAGGTTTGTTGAAATATTCTTAAATCAAATTCTGAAATCATATTATATAAATATATAATTATTGAATAGACGAATTGTTCAGGCAATGACAAATATATTCTGTTGTATAGGTCTTCCTGTAAGGGAATATGATGAATTATTGCGTAGGGAGGGGATAGGGCCGTGCCATAGCTCAGGCGGTTAGTCGCCCGTGTTCGATCCCAGGTCAGGTTATGTGGAGTTTGTGGTGGACAAAGTGGCACTGGGATAGGTTTTCTCCTAGTATTTCGGTTTCCCTACAATTCTCATTCCGCCGACAGCTCCACATTCATCATCATCCGGGGCTGGTACAATAGGCCAATTAGTGGCCGACGTACCAAGTGGATTCAGTCTCACTCCAAGAACCCCCCCCAAAGGGAGAGAATTCCCCCCACAGAAAGTAATCGTTTATTACAAGCTGTGCTCAGCTAAAAAGGACAGGATTTTTTTGTCTTTCGTTTCTGGGCTTTACAAGTACGAATTAACTATGGCTACAGATTTAAATTTAGATATATTTATTTGCCGTGCTGCTGAATCGCGGTTGACTAAACGTATAGACATTATACCCAGCTAAGGCCGTAGCTTCTTAGATGGACAGAGACAGAACCTCACAATCCATGCGTCCATTTTATGAACTTCACGCAAATAACTCATATAGCAAGCATCTTTCTTTCAGTAATTTTTTTTTTTAATTTACTCTCTGTCTTTTTAACGAGATATGTCCGAAATTTGATTTAGATCTGCAAGAGAAGAAGAAGACCAACTCACGTATAAATTTCGTGATAAGCTCAAAGGCAGCGACCAGACACGTGCAACTCAAGTTCTTTAGGTATATTTATATATGCCCTCTCTGTGGTCTAGTGGTCAGAGTTCATATCTACAGATTAAGAGGTCCCTGGAACGGGGTCCACTCTGCCTCGTGACGATAATTGAGGAGCTATTTCAAGGAAATAGCGGTTCCGGTCTAGAAAACTGAGATTAACGGCCGTGGGGATCCGTTGCGCTGACCACGTGACACCCTCTATCCGTAAAAGATGGCACTAACTTCGCAGACAAGCTGCGGTCGCTCGGACGGTATAGTTCGCTTGCGGACTATAGGCCACGGCGTTTTTAAATCTGTAACTTACTTATGATGCTGTCAATGACTCTCACACAAAAAATGAGTAATCCATACAATGCAATATCTAGCAAACACGGGGTTTATAATTGAAGAATCCTATCTTTCGCGATGTAACGCCGTGTGGTCTGGCAGACGTGCATCGATGTTTGGAGAAAGGAACTAAGTCTATTTTCGGAGTCTATATCTTTTTACCTTTTTCAGTTCCAATCAACTAAGGAGGATCAAACCCCGTGTCTCCGGAGTAGGCTATCGTTGCGGAGCCTCGGTCTCCACTGAAGGTGTGAATCGAATGTTGAATTTGAACTTCTTGGTGATCACTTGAACAGTCCACAGATGCTCTGGTTTATTCAGAGGAACTGCACGAGGTCAAATGTTTGAAGAGCTGTACACGCTTACTCATTTCGAATGTGACTACAACTTGAAAAACACTTGAAATAAGAAGTTTGGCATTTGATCTGGTTTTGGAACCTAAAAGCAACGTTGTGCTAAAACGAACGCCTGCTAATACCTTTTAAAAAATCTAGCTGGGTCTTACAGAATTTCCTTCCGAGAAAATGCAGAATTTCAGGTAGCGGTTAGTCGTGACGGGTTACGTCTTCTGGGATATAACACCGTGTAACCAGTTGAAAACCAACTGACGTTGCGGAGTAATATATCGCATCCATCTTCAGGGTTGACGACTAAGCGAAGCGAGAAACTATCATGAAACACGCAGCAACGGTTGACTTTCAACGAGCTGCTCCCAGAAGTCAGAAATCTTCCCCGCAATAACATGTTTGTCCTTGGAATATTATTTGACATCATGCGATCGGTAAAAGCGTAAACACCACTAACTTCATTTAGTGTAGAACTACTAAAGTTTAAAGCAGTACATATTTGTTGTCAGAGGCAAATTTCAAAAAGAAAACGTAAAACCAATAAGACGCCGTAAATGGGATTCAGAGACCAGTGTTGACATTTAATTATATAACCCGTGAAGACAATAAGAAGACAAAAGAGAGTACACTGTGAAGACATGTGGAGGAGATATAAAAAGCAAAAAAGGTAAAGTTATCCCTGTAACAGGCCGTGAAGGCCCATGAGGTTGTGAGGCGTCGAGGCTCCCACATTTTCTTTAGACAACCGGCTCACATATGGCGGCAAGGCCTTACGCGCCTGCCGCCCTTTAACCCCCAGGAAGATTCTTGGTACTCATTTCTGTTAGGCTGAATTGACCTCAGGGCTATAGTGAGGCTGGAAGGATTAGATTAATTGAAAAAAATCCACTTCATCGGGACTCGAAACTGCGACCTTCCGGCTTGTAGCATGGTGCCTCAACCAACTACGCTAGCGCGTGCCCAGAAGAGGAAATATTCATAACCTCGGTGGCAGATGGAGGTACGAGACTGGTGCTTTGGTTTGTCCCGCAGTTTTTTTCCTGATGAGATAGCCCCATATCCATCGGACAGAAGTTGGGTGAGTTCCACAAACCTGCGTGACGTCATGCCCCAAAATACCGCGATCCCCATGTTCACTGCTGTGAGAACCTCAAACCTCATTGGGCATAATTTCTTTAACAGTGCACTGCTGTATGAGTGTGATAAATGATTGGATAGTGATGAATTGGCAGACAAAAGATGGTCATGGTTTATCGTGCCATTCTATCGCAGTGTGGAGCGAGGAAATCTCAACATTTGGGATAGTTTAATAACGCACTAGTTGTATGTGTGATAGGTGTCAGGATGGTGATGAATTGGCGCAGAGGAGAAATGGTAATGAGTTTTCCCAGCGAATACTGTGGACAAGTGAACTTGATCTTGCGTGGGCCGCTGGGGTTTAGCTGAACAACACCGGAGTCCCGGCTCATGAGATCAGCGATGACATCATTCTCCGAGTCTCCGGGTCTCGACCCGGTGCGATCCGAGATTCTTCATCAGAACAGTGGAAGCCGAGATACAGAAAATATTGTTAATGTTATACGTTATTACGGCAACGTTCTTTTTTGCTGCAAGTCTGCTGACTTTCTCATTGTGTTTTTAGCATGTTTTCCTTATTTTTATAGAATAGAAGTATGCTTAAGAGGTCACCATGCTGTCTGTGAATCCCACTCTATCAACTTTTGAATACCTGAACCAATCTTTATTAAATGTAGTATGCATATCATGGCGTCTGAGCCCATCTACATGGCATACTTCATAAATTCTTCGCATCAGTCTGTCTCTGTATAAGTAATCCCTTATTGTTGCTAGGCAACGACTCGGTAAAAAAGGTACAGCGGCAAGGAATACACACGCATCAATAGAAACATGTTTGGGTGCGTCGTTTTATATGCGGTCCTTGTCGTACCTAAGGAAAGTAGGAGACAGTTCTCCCCAGAACTTCTTGCGCCAATAAGCACTGCCTGCCGACCCACATACTTTATGTTAACTGAGGTCCGACAGGGAATTTGAATAATTTTTATTCCGCAGGTTCTATATTCGAAACTCGGTGGACCGGAGAAAACTGACGGATCCATACGGGAACAATTTGACACATCTGGCTGCTGCTTTTTGCCTCACAAGTCATAAAAAAATTCTTCATCCTCTCATTGGACCCAACGGCAGAACAAGCTTAAATAACACTAGAAACCCTCGAAAAAAACAAAAACAAAAGAAACAAAAACAAAATTTCATATTGTTACTATTTAGGAGCGTGACTACAGATGGGGTTTCGATTGATGAATGGATTTAGTGACCATTTATAAACACGACACGGAACTACAAACAATTACAACACTATCGCTGGTTTCCACACTTTACAAATCACCACAGCACTTACTAAACATTTTCGAGCTTGTTGTGTATTCACCAGCCGTTCCCCGGCAACAGCTTCTAACAGTGGAGATTCTTCAGTTTCACGCTTTCAGGTCCTCTTGTCACAGCCACCCGTGCAGAGCTCTTGTTAACTGTCAATTAAACTACAGCGGCATCTCTTCTCATCCTACCTTACAGTGCTCAGCTGACTTCTTGCCGAAGTTCTTTTCCTAACTCCTCCGCTCGGACCGCGTAGACAACACCGCCTTTCCCCCCTTACATACGTAATCGTTGCAGCGGGAACGTGTTTACCGAGCCGTTGTCCAGAAACGGGTCTGATATAACCACAAATCTCACGATCGTTGTATCTCAACGGCTATACACGCTACAATATAAAACTTTAGTACACAAGATTTATTTTATTGCATTTTTAAATAAGCAGATAATTCACTCGGAGGACGTCCCGAATACAATTCATGCAATAACTTACCGATAAAAACCACACTTTGAAACATTTTCCTATTTGCGACACTACCCAGGTTCACCCCATTTCTGCAATTGCTACAGTCCTTAGTACCATGTTAGCAGCAACATTCGCGAACATGGAGTGTCTCTCCAAGCGAAGGGAGACCAATTTCAGTATTTTTCTCTAACACATTTAGCTCCACAAATAGGGCAGAGCATGATCACCCGTTTCATTTTCATCAGTAAATTATTGAGTGAGTTATATAGTTCCGTAACTCTTCCGAATGAAATATCATGTAGATCTGCGTTTATACAAATTTATAAGGGGAAATTATGAAAATAGAAAACTGGAAATCGAAGTAAATCTATAAGTTAAACATGACGGTAAAGAAAAGAGTGTTTATTCTACAAAACGAAGATAAACAGCAAACGTAAATTTGTTTGCATCCCTTTTTATTTTCAGTTCGAGTTCCTTTAGGCTTCGCGTTGACAATTTGCATGTTTAAAGGAATATCTCGTTTAAACCACCAGTGTTTTCAGATTTGATTGTGCTTATTTAACAGAGTTAGTAACAAGTAACTTCTCCTGTCGAATTCTACAATTTAAAACGGAAGATTCGTAGTCTTCGAATAACAGAAATCCTAAGAATATCTTACTTACTTACTCATGGAGCTGAGCCCTTCTGGAGGAGCCGCAAATTCTGCAGCTACTCAAGAATTTCCCAGCATTTTATGGAACCCGAAGGTTCATTATTGTGTTCACAAGAGCCCTCCACTGGACCCTATCCTTAGCCAGATCAATCCAATCCATGCCATCCCATCCTATCTCTCTAAGATCCATTTTAATATTGTTCACCCACATACGCCTTGGGCTTCACAGTGGTCTCTTTCCTTCTGGCTTTCCCCACAAATATCCTATACATATTCCTCGTCTCCCCCATTCGCGCTACATAATCCTAAGAATATAAAATTATAATTAATATACGTGTTATATTGAAAGATTCGGCGCTTAAAATTCTAATTTCAAATAATTAAAAGATTTTAAAATACTAGCCGTTCGTGTGGTATATTTTGAGGCTCCTCGTCGACAAAAGGGACTTGGTAATTGCTTCGCCTTCTCTTAGCTGGATGATGGTACGTTGACCTATCTAAACAATTTCAAAAGGACAAAAAATGCAATGGGTGTGATGTATAATTCTGTGCGCTGGGCCCCCGAATCTCCAATTCCCTGAACATAGAGAACACCTTCATATCCAGGATCATTAATTCCAGAACCACCGCGGCCTCCGGAACCACTGCCACCTCCGGAACCACCGTCACCTCCAGAGCCACCACCGATCCCGGAGGAGGGACCAGATGAAATGCCATCCCAATCGTTGCAGAGGTTAGCTGTGCAGACTCTCGTGTACACTCTGTAGCCGCCACCCTCAGTTATCCCATGATCACTGTAGGGGGTGCAGCCACGGTAAAAAGTGAAGATCTGCCCTGAAAGTGTTCACATTGTTTATCTGTGTTAAAACACTTCCAAGTGGTCACGTATCACATTTTGATTGCACTGTCAGAAGTAATACGTATTAACAGAATTAATGTTCAACCAGTGTTTGATATACTGGCCTATTTTTTTTTCCTTGGCACTACAGCCCCCATGGCCCTAGGCCTACCTCCACGAATTTCTCCGTTCACTTCGGTTTTTCAAGACCTTACACTTTCGGTAGGACTCCTTGGGCGGGTGATCAGCTCGTCGCAAGGCCTCTACCTGTACACAAACACAGAAAAGCGCACACACACAAATTAAATATCCATGCCTTGAGTGGGATTCGAACCCACGATCCCGGTTTCCAAGCGAGCGAAGACAGTACATGCCTTAGACCGCTCGGCTACCGTGACCGGCATACTGGCACATTACAGGACTTAAAAGCTAACATTTTAAATTAGATGTACATTTTTGAACGATGGTATATTAATTTCGTAAATTACTGACTTTTTCAACATTGTCCATTGTTCTATTCCTTTTATTTAAAAATAACCTTTTGGAGAGTAAGTTCTCTCTCCTTCCTCAGATAAAAGCCTACTCAGCTGGGCCCAATCGATAGAGCTGGCCCGTATCTCTTAACATCAGCACCAGCACAAGACAGGCTACATAAACCATCAGCTGGAGCTCAGACAAATATTTTAAAATAATAATAAAAAAACATGACAATAGATGACGTCCAAAAAGTAAATATTTGTATAAGCTAATACGAGTATTGCATTTATGTCATCAAAAACAATGCGCCAAATTTCAAATGTCAGTGTTTGCATTCTGTTGTATATTAATGTAATTGTAAACATCTTTATATCCAGCAACACAACAAATACCTTGTATAATACATAACATTGTAATAATAGTTAACTATTATTATAGTACCACGACATATTTGAATCCCTTAGATCGCCTGAAGATTCAGCTAGAAGGCGTTAGTTTAGTTAATCATTTCGACACTTAATATGATCATTCCACGTGGCGCTCCTTACCCGGATTGTCCAGGTATTCCTGTCTTATAATTGTGCAGTACTTGTAAGGACATTTGACAACGGGGAAACTAGTACTGACACCTGCTGGGTTATTCAAGCAAGATCTATCCGTGGCACTTGCATCCATCAAGCAAGAGTAGCACTGAAATTCTGCAACAAGAATAATTAACCAGTCATAACTATTTACTTATTTTGAAAATAATATAACGTTTGCACTTCAGGAACAGAACTCCATTAATGTTCTGGTCGGCCGCTTAATGGGCTTAACCTTGACTCAACTGCGCTGGCTATGTCAGCACATTAAGTAAAATACGTATTTGGAACTGATCTTTAATTTAATGAATTAATATTTTAAGCCAGTTCCCCGCAATGGAGCACAGAAAATTTCTTGCTCCTGCCGGAAATCAAGACTTATTCCTCGATCGTCCAGTCTGTAAACTCGTTATATCAGCTGAAACGTACTTGCTCAAAATACATTTACAGCGCACTTCAGCGCCTCTACCAGCCTGGGGTGTTCAAACCATTTTAATCATCTTTGTTATTGAAGGATTAACTGAGGCACATATACTATGTTAATGTTAACTCCTTAAAGCACAATATTACTATGTATATACGAGTATATACCTCTTGTTTTTGCATAAAAGAGTGTATTGGTGTGACTCTGGAAAGAGAAAACGCTCATATTATTAAACAACATTAACGGATTGGTTGATATAATGAAGGCGCAGTGTGTCTCCTGTGAGCTACAAATGGAATTTTTAAGTATTATTAGAAGAATTTCGTGCTTTGAAGAGTTAGCTATGGAAGAAAGATAAAACATACCTCCGCGTGCAATGGGAAGATAGGCACAGGTGAAAACCAACAGCACTCTCATCACGTTCGGCATTTTCACTCGACTGTCAGTACGCCAGGAATTAAGAGATTGTTAGACCAGTATTTGCGCAATGATAATCAGAGATAAGGCGTTTTGTTTATCAGTAGGAAAGCGATATAATTATCATCATTGAAGTACGTAGAGATAACACAAGTGACTTGAAAATACAAAGTTCTGAGCTCAAAATAAATCATAGAAGTTCTATTTTCTGGGATATAAAACTGTGTAGTCTGTTGAAAGTCAACGGATATTTCGCAGGAACATGCCGCTTCCATCCCCGGAGTCAATGAATATGCCAAGAAAGTTTCTACCGAGCTGGTTTCTTGCTTGTCTTGTTCTTCAAAGCTATAGATTGAAGCGATATGCTCTTCTGAAATGTAGATTGAATTTCAGCTGACTACAAGGCGCCATGCGGGTATCCCAGAAGATAGGACTGTTCATGAACACCGCTGTGAGAACTCTAAAATTTATGGGCACATGTAAAGAAATCTTGACACAATTATCGGACAGTCTAGCACATTTATTAGTTAAAGTTCATAACAGGCATAGTAAAATTTTCGATGCCCGATGCACATTCATGCCAATAGTTTATTAACAACAAGAAGGGGTGTCCGACGTCCTCGCTGTTTTAAGTATTGCCGACAGATGAACTTCGTGAGGTTTATATTTCTACAAATTTTACACAATTCTTCAGTTCTTGGCTTGTGTGCTGTTGTTTTGAGAGTGATAGAAGGGACAGTCTGGTTTTTAGAAGACCTTCCTTGTTTTGAAAAAATAAAATAGGTTTATGTGATCACCTTATAGCTCAGGCGTTTAGTCGCTGGCTTCCCACCGCGGTGGCCCGAGTTCGAGCCGGGTCTGGTTATGTAAGATTTTTGGTGGACAGAGTGGCACTCGCGTAAGCTTTCTCCGAGTACTTCGGTTTCCCCTGCCAAACTTCATTCCACCAATTGCTTCACAGTCACCCTCATCTGTCATCTGGGTCTAGTACAATAGGCCAATATTGGCCGCAGTGCCAAGTGGACTCAACCTCACCCCACTAAGATTGATAAAAACAATATGCGATCACCTCGCTGCGTATGTGTTGTCCGTGTGTTTGTATGTGTATCCCCTTGTTATGCAGTGTTGTACTATCTCAAAATGCTGACACCACTGTTAAAGTGTGGCCTATTATCCTGCCTCAACTGCCGTCACTTGCTGTACGCTTTGGGGTGGCAGTCTAGGGTGCATCCACCACCCTGGAAACCAGTTCCCACTTAAATGAGCAGAATGGACTTCGAGGTTCTACAAGAAGGAGGTTCAGGATTCGTGGTGGAGTCCTATCTCCACGTGTTCCCATTGGTAGCGATCCCGATTCTCCGACTGTTGAGGTCCTAGGGAATAAACTTGTAACACTGTGGGGTTCGCTACTGCCTGCGTTTAGTTACGCTATCAACATACTAATTTGGGTTTGAGCTAAGTAATATGACGTCATATTTTTCTAGCCTCAGACCGGTGTCCTATATGCATCTTTCTGGTCGTCAGCAATACGAGATGGAGTCATTCACTTTGGATGCAGAAGTACGCGATGGCGAAGACGTGGTATAGGCAGTACCCCATGCCTCTCTTGCCGTGGTTCTCCATCTGCGGTGCAATAGTTATGGCGTCGATAGGCTGTCGGGCATATCCTAACTTAGCAACTGTTAATGCTTTACATTCGACTGCCCATAGTCACCGGCCTAAGGGTTATATACTGGGAGAATTTTGCGAATCGGCATTTCTTCAAACCTTCAATAAAATTTAAGTATTCCTACAGCTGTTCCAACCGCTGGTTCAGCGTTTCCAAGCGAGACTTGACACACGTTTGATTTAGTTTAGTTAGTCAGGAATCTGGCCGCGCCATACCTCAAGCGGTTAGTCGCTGGCTTCCCACCGCGGAGGCCCAGGTTCAATCCCGGGGTCTGGTGAAGTGGGATTTATGGTGGACAAAGTGGCGCTGGGGCAGGTTTTATCCGAGTACTTCGGTTTCCCCTGCCAATCTTCATTCCACCAATTACTCCACAATCACCCTCACCTATCATCTTGGGCTGCTACAATAGGCAAAAAGTGGCTGCAGTACAAGGTACTTAGTCCCATCCCACTAGCTATAAAAAAAGTCAGAAATCTGGTTTAAATGAGGGACCATAGAGACGCGAGAGCCCTTTGCACTCATTTTCTCTGGCTGATACAATATCTGTTATCATTCAGGCGAACACGCCTTCTTCCGATCCTATCTATACAGATTGACGTCACGTTCTCGTTTTGTGTTCCTTATCAATAACAGAAATGGATAAGTCTGCTTATAGTACTTCGGAAGAAAGTATCTGATAGTAAAAACGTTTCGAAAATGTGTCATGCGTTTCCTACATGACAGAACTGAAGTACCAACGTGTGCTGGAAATCGTATACAAGTTGAGAGATACCAGCCGAACTGAGTGGTATTGAGATAACGGTCTACACCCGTATTCAGGAGGTGTAATGTTCGAATCTCACTCAGGACACCTGCTATCCTGAACGAGGGTTCGCGTGGTTTTTCTCTGTTCCTGCGGGAAAATTGGGGGGAGGGGGGCACGCGGTAGCGTAGTTGGTTGAGGCACTATGCTACAAGCTGGAAGGTCGCGGGTTCGTGTCCCGATGAGGTGGACTTTTTTTATGTAATCCTTCCAGCCGCACTATAGCCCTGGGGTCGACTCAGCTTCTAATATAAATCAGTACCAGCAATCTTCCTGGGGGTACAGGGCGATCGTTGCCTAAGACTGACAATCTCACCGCCATCTCTGAGCCGACTGTCTAGAAAAAATGTGGGAGCTTCGACGTTTCACAACCACATGGGCCTCCATGGCCTGTTGCAAGGATAGCTTTATCTACTGGAAAATGCTAGGATAGTAATCTGATTGGGCTGAGACTGCTTTCTTCTAAATCTTTTCCAACTCATAATCATTCATCTATTACCCAGTATCATCCGATATTGAAAGCGTTATTAAATAAGCTACGAGAAAAGGAGAAATGCCGAAATTCGGGATCCAGTGGTTGGCACCCATGTTTCCTATTCGGAGATTCCGGGTTGAAGTCTCGGGTAGGAAAGAGGCTACTTTATCCCAGATATTTTGATTTTCTTCAGTCCCTCCAGCCGGAGAAATGTGTCAAATCAAGCAATGATATTTCTTCTTTTTACAAGTCATCATTCACCGATAATCCTAAAATTCGACTCTTCATAAGCATAGCAACTGAAAGCTTTGTTAAATAAGGCAAGAACACGTGAACAATAGGTAAAGAAGTATGCACTGAAGATAAATACTCAGCATATACATTCTTAAACAAATTTTTGATCCTGTATCAACAGAGTACGGAAGTTTCAAGACAAAACAATTAACATTACAGGACTTACGCTCGTACTTAAAAAAAGTAAAGTGATCCCTCTAATAGTCCTTAGAGACCCACAGGTTTGTGAGACGTCGAGGCTCTAACATTTGTCTAGAAAATCAGCTCACAAATGGCGGTGAGGTTGTCAGCCTTACGCGTCGACCGCACTTTCTCTCCAGAAAGATTCCTGATACTCATTTCTGTTAGAGAATAAGTCAACTCCAGGGTAATAGTTCAGCTGGAAGTATTAGGACAACTGAAAAATCTAATGACCTTAACGAAAATCAAATTCACAACCTTCTGGCTTGTAGCATAGTTACACAAACACAAATCAGACTAATACTGAACAAAATGATGGCAAAAGTATTCCTGAACGGCTGCAATTATATTTTCCTACCACCAGCATGACTTCTCTCGATGGTTATATGAAGAGTGAAACGAAAGTTGGGCACAACGGTGAATCCTTATTAAAGAAAGAAAAGTCCAAAATGTTGTAAAATGTAAGTCGTTAGACGCTTTGTTTTCCTTCTGCACTTCACGGTCAAATGTGGTAACATATTCCTCAGCAGCGGGATCTGTCACTACAATACCTAACGCACTGTTAGATGTACACTCCAGACACACAGCGTACAGCAGAGTTCAGTTGTGAATTAATTGTCAAGGAATGCGCTCCCTGACGAATACTGTGACATGCTCTCAATCCTCGGTACCAATAATAGTCGAGCTGGTACTGCTGCAGGAAAATACATGCCACGTTATCCTGGTCGTCATACAGACCTAATGTGTTTCAACTATTGGAACAGCATCTCCGGAAGACATGAATTGTAAAACCACATGAATGCAAGTCGCCTTTGGACTGTACGGACACCAGCCAATGAATCTGCCATAACTGCAGCTCTGAAACGAGGGCCGTGGAGACGCTCGTGCAACACAACGCGAGATAGCGAGTATCCAAACCGGGAGCCCTTGGAGTACTCCATGACACTCAGTCGTAGCCGTACAACTAGGCCATGCCATAGCTCAGGCGGTTAGTCGTTGGCTTCCCACCGCCGTGGCACGGGTCAGGTCATGTGGGATTTGCGGTGGACAAAATGGCACTGGAGCAGGTTTTCTCCGAGTACTTCGGTTTCCCCTGCCAGTCATCATTCCACCAAATGCTCCACAATCATTATAATCTGTCATGTGGTGCTGGTACGATAGGCCGAACTGTGGCCGCAGTACCAAGCGAACTTAGTCTCACCCCATTAATAATAATAATAATAATAATAATAATAAATAATAATAATAATAACAATAATAAATCCATACAACTACTCGCGAAGCTTACATCTGTTTCCGGACGACTGTCCTCTAAGGATGCAATATTTTGATTGGCTAGAACATCAACACACTGCGGATGACCAATTTTTACATAAAGTTCTGTGGGGAAAACGAAATATGTTTTAGCGTAAAGGTGTGTTCAACATCCACAACAATCACCTATGGATACGGAACAATCCACATGCGATCCGTGAACATGGGTATCAAGTCCACTTCAGTGTAGAGAGTTTGGGATGGAATCGTCGGTGACACTGTCGTTTTCCCGTATCTGCCACCGGAGAGGTTGACTCCTCAACGATTTTGCAAAACTAACTGTGAAGCAAATATTCTGGTTTCAGCTTTTTTTTTAATGCTAGTTGGGTGGGACTAAGTCCCTTGTACTGCGGCCACTTATGGCCTATTGTACCAGCCCCAAATGATAGGTGAGGGTGATTGTGGAGCAATTGGTGGAATGAAGAGTGGCAGGGGAAACCGAAGTACTAGGAGAAAACCTGCCCCAACGCCACTTTGTCACCCACAAATCCCACTTGACCAAACCCGGGATCGAACCCGGGCCGCCGCGGTGGGAAGCCAGAGACTAACCGCTTGAGCTATGGCGCGGCCCATTGTTTCAGCTTGACGGAGCTCCAGCGTACTATGGGGAAGATATCCGGCAGTAGTTGAACATGACATATCGAGGAAGGTGGATTGGATGTCCAAGGCCGATTGCGTGACTTCCTCGGTCACCGGATCTAAATCCCATTGACTTTACCCTGTCGGGACACCTGATGCTACACTTTTACGCAGTCCCTTCCAGGACTATGGCACATCTCGTGGCAGGACCTCAAAACAGTTGTCATAACGGTTGATGCCAACATCTTCAGGCGTGTTGTAGAGAATGCCGTGTGACGCGCTGCCGTATGCCTTTAAATGGATAGAGGCCTCTTGGAAAATCTGTTAGGCGCCCATTGTTCAATGATTTGATAGCTTGAGTCATCTGACATTGGAGTATGTGCCGGAAACTAAACGTAATAAGACACACGGCGTTAGCATTCTCCACTTGTCCCTTAACAAGGAATTACAAAATTGGAATCTGGAGCGCGAATTTCTTTTCACCAAGTACACATATATATAAAGCGAGTAAAGTGATTTGATATGGGCTACAAGGATAGGGTTCGAAACCCCTCTTAACCCAGTTAACTTGGCACAACCAATCCTTACGACTGTCGCAAACCGAACCTCAGTCATCCAGGAGATCTCTACCTTCTGGAATATAACACCGTGTAGTCCAGTGAGAGTCGACGAACGTTCGGGAGGAAAATAGCACTTCCACCTTCAGTGTCGAAGAGTAAGCGAAGCAAGAAACTGGAAGCTAGCAGAGCAAACTTAAACTGACTTCCACCTGACTATATGCCGTTAGTTTCAAGATGATGAACTCCTTCAAAGACACCGGTGTGAGAACCTCATACCCGACTCGGTCGTCCAGTCTGCATACAGTCACTGTCTTGACAGTTTGGATAATTATGGCCATTATAATAGAGAATATGTAGTGAAGAATGTAAGTAATCTTTCTGGAACTTTTGTCTAGACTCTCGTAAGTTAGGAAATAGTTTCAGAATCTAAGGTCGATTGTGTCAATGTAATCTCAAGTATATGTCATGTCATTTATTTTGGCACTGATAGCTTTATTATATCTGTACCATAAATGATGCTGATATATTTGTCAGTTTAACAGAAATGTGGAAGGCGCTCTTGGTGACTGTGTGCATAGGGCTTCCAGTTGCACAATGCGGTAAGTTTCCTTTGTTTTCATGCAATTTTAAAGGAGTTGAAAGAAAGTAAGAAAATTGTGGGAATAGATAGAAGAATGCTGCAAAAGGCAGAAGAAGGATGACGTAATATACGTGAAATTGTTGTAGGGTACTGAAGACAACCGGAAAGAGGACCATAGCCCTACTGATGAAAGAAAGTCACACTCACTAATCTAACTTTATGAATAATCACGTACAACACTGCAATTCCCTACTAGTACTCATATATTGTAATACGTGTAAATTGCTAGCATGTATGCCAACAACGGTTTTGCCTGCAGTTCTCTTTAGTTTTATGTATTCGCGTTTGATTTGTGCACACACAAAAAGGGAGCTGGGTTATATCAATTGGTATAGCGACGGGTTACGTGTGGAGGTGGGGTCGAATACCTCCACCGTGACCCTGTGAGTGGTAGGAGGAGACGAAAAGGGAAGTCTAAAATCTGAGAGAGTAAAATATGGTCACAAGTCCCAAGGGACTCGGGCTCGAGAACGACTGCGCTGGCAAGGGTCAGCAGTATATACAAAACACAGACCCGTCCTCTCGTCAGAGAGGGCGCCCCACAGAAACAAGTCCGCAACAGTCAAACAATAATAAATATCTGGTCATGAGCCCCAGATGGGGCTCGACACCAAGACTTACTGACTGACTGACTGACTGAGCGTCAGTCGCAATGTGACTTTGACTTTGGGCTACGTGCTGGACGGCCGGCGTTTGATTCCTGGCAGAGACAAGATATTTCTCTCTTCTCCACAATATCCAGACCGGCTCTAGGGCTCACCCAGTCTCCTACCCAATGGGCACAGGGGTCTCATTCACCGGACGTAAAACGGCAGAGGAGTGAAGTTGGCCACTCATATTTATTTAGTGCCAAAGTCAAGAATGGTGTAGATATAGCTCCAATATTGCATACGCCTGCATGGCGTGTTTAATTAATTAAACAGAGAGACAATTTTACATTTATCTAAAAAAAAGATTGCTTCGAATTAAGAGATCAACATTTGCAGGAGGTAGGGCTGTAATTACCAGAAGAATAGTATATATGCTCACCCTGTATAAGATTAATCGTAACATTATCTTCCCATCTACTAATTATCTCCAATGAAATCTTTTCCGTACAAGCCATTCGACCAAATTGTATATGCCAACATCCCGGCTCCCGTAGCTTCCACTTTACTCAAGGCTTCAGTCTCAATAACCGGGGTATTTTGTTAGGACTGTAACTGTTCAGAATCCGAATAAACAAAAAACAAACTCAGTGGACCGTAGTCCGCAAGGGAACTATACCTATCGAGCGACCGTCGCTTGTCGGCTAAGTCAGTGCTAACTTTACAGGATAGAGAGTGTCACGTGGTCAACTAAACGGATCCTCACGGCCATTAATCTCGGTGTTTTAGACCGCAGCAGCTATTTCCTTGAAATAGCTCCTCAGTTATCCTCACGAGGCTGAGTTGACCCCGTTCCAGACCCACTACTTCTCAGAAAATCTGGTAGCGCCGGGAATCGAACCCGAGACCTCTAGATCTGTAGCCAGGATTTCTGACCACCAGACCATAGAGGCGGTCATCGGAATAAATATATTAATTTATTACTAACAGTACATATCCACAATACACAGGCCTGCATATATAAATACATATCGCGCGTCCACACAAAATTTCATACATTGCCATTTCAGACTTGGAGTGCTACTCTTGTATGATGGATGGTGGCGAGCAGGACAGATGGTGCTTGACTAATCCGGCAGGCGTCAGCACCAGCACGGTCAGTTGTCCGTACAATTACTGTTCCATCGTACGGCACGAGTATGCTAAAGGTAATATATAGCACGTGGGTTTAGAAGATTTTGTATCACTGGTGATGGTCATGTGAACTGGGATAGTTCGTTCAGTACCATGATTGGGCTATGGGCTGAACAATCAGAATTTAGTTTCCAGCAGGGCTTCAGATTTCTTTTCTCAACCGTGTCCAGACGGGTTCCGGCAGCCAGGCCTTTTGGCTCAGGAGACAAAGCGTGGAACTTCATTGTACCGAAGTTAACAATTTGTGGAGTTAATAAATTAACTCTCCCACATTTTTATCGCATGGTTCTTAAGATAATTTATCTGGGGGAAAGGGGCCAGAGTGTAAAATCCCTCATCGAGTTTAAGAATGAAAATGGCTATACATCAAATTTCCCAAGCGTCACCATCGCAGGAAACTTAAATAACTATGATGTCGGTAGTGGTTTAACCATGGTCTACCTCACATGGCGAGTGGGGTCCATTGTACTTAATCTACTGAAAATAGCAGCAGAGAGCCACAGATATTAAGTCCAGTAGCTGATTTTTTTTTAAACAGATATAACATAAAAACAAACATTAACAAAATCAAACTCCGTGAGTTCAGTCCGCAAGCGAACTTAATTTCGGTTTTCTACACCGGAGACGCTATTTCCTTGAAACAGCTCTTTAATTATCATCACGACGCTGATTGGACCCGGTTCTAGACCCACTACTTCTCAGAAAGAAACTGGTAGCTCCGGGAATCGAACCCGGACCTCTGGATCTGTAGCCAGGAACGCTGACCACTACACCACAGAGGCGGTCGTACCATAAAAGCAATATTTAAGACTGCTGTCTTTGTCTACCGTTATTTTTAAATCCTAAAACCGAAATTAACGTCCGTGGGGATTCGTTGCGCTGATCACGCGACGCCCTCTAACCGCTAAAGCTGGCACTAACTTCGCCGACAAGCGGCGGTCGCTCGGTCGGTATAGTTCGCTTGCGGACTAAAATCACGGAGTTTATTTTTGTTTACGAGTGTTAATTGCAAGCTTCATGACTCTCCCTCATACAACTACGAAATCTTGTAGCTGTTAGCTCAAATTTCCAAACTGAAAATTTTCTTCCAATGCAAACTAATGACTTTACATGGTTCACTTTATATTATGGACCAAAAAGCCACCACCACAACTCCATTTCAATACTATAACTGCTGCTGCTGCTACTACTACTACAGCTGCTGCTACGTTCACCACCAGATCGGCTACACACAGCACCACAGCACAAAAGAAAGAAACAGACACACAACATGTGTGTACACAACAAAAGTAACCACGGCATGATAACCTAAAAAATAAATTAAAATATTTTATAAGCATTTTACATTACTCAAATTCAAAATACAACAGCGTACCAACAGGGCATCAGTTTCATCTACAATCTTATATATCTGATGATGGCAAGTTAGGTCAAAACATGTCAAACAAACTACGTGGTTTTAGTCCGCAAGCGAACTATACCGACCGAGCGACCGCCGCTTGTCGGCGAAGTTAGTGCCAACTTTAGCGGATAAAGGGTGTCGCGTGGTCAGCGCAACGAAGGCCGTTAGTCTCGGTTTTCTAGACCAGAGCCGCTACTTTTCCATACAAGTAGCTCCTCAATTATCCTCATGAGGCTGAGCGGACGCTGTTCCAGACCCACTAATTCTCAGAAAATCTGGTAGCGCCGGGAATCGAACCTGGACCTCTGTTTCTGTAGCCAGGAACTATGACCACTAGACCACAGAGACGGTGGCCAAAACATGCAGTATTAAATAAACAATATTACAACGGATTAGATCAACGTGTTGCCAGGCAACAGCTCTGTAAAAACTGTCCAACACGCAACAATAGATAAGCCTGTTCCTTCTATAATGTTTACGCCGAGCAGTGGTGGAAGAACGGGGTTATGCAACCCGCTTCTAAGAAACGGCTCGGTAAACACATTTCTGCATAGGCAGTGAAATCATCAACAATAGAGACGGTGTTTTCCATAGGGTCTGTGCAGAGTGCTTATAAGAGAAGTGAATGCAGTGACAAAGTTAGTTCAGGGGCAGTTAGGAGTCAGTTGTAAGCTGGAGGAGTAAGTCCAGAAGAATTTTGAGTTCCAAGGTTCCACAATGATTGAAAACAAAATAGCAAGAAGACTTCACAGTGATTTGAGTGCTAATTCCTGTGTTGAGATCCATTGCCAGGAGACTACTAGCGGAAACTGAGAATGTGCAACGATGAACTGTAAACTGTGTAAAGCAGCAATAGTGCTGTATTTAATGGTGACTAGGAGAACTAAAGTGCTAATAAATCTAATCATCCGAATTAGAACACATTATTTTCGTCACGCGTACCCCCATACATATGACAATATGAAGAGATAAAAGGCTTTCAAAGTGTGAATTTTAATGTATGTGACGCTGCACAGACAGTCAAGTGAGAGTGCTAAACTGGATTAAGACTACCTGAAACACCTGCCTGCATTTATTATAACTTACATAACATTTGTATTTGATGACAGTTCAACTTATTTAGCATAAAGAAGCAAAAGAAATAAAGAAGTGTGAAATTATTATCATATTTGTGACAATGTGACCACTGCTGTGGTCTAGTGGTCAGAGTTCCTGGCTACAGATCCAGAGGTCCAGGTTCCACTCAGCCTTGTGAGGATAGCTGAGGAGCTATTTCAAGGAAATAGTGGCTCTGGTCTAGAAAACCGAAATTAACGGCTGTGGGGATTCATTTTGCTTACCACGTGACACCCTGTATCCACTAAAGTTGGCACTAACTTCGCCGACAAGCGGCGGTCTCTCGGTCAGTATAGTTTGCTTGCTGACTAAAACCACATTTTTTTTTGTTTTGTTTTTGTTTTGATCTGTTACAATGGGGACAATATGGCTGAAAGCATGGATCTGGAAACTAAGTGGGATCACGAGGAGATTCGAGAGGAAGGGTGAGGAGGACGCTAAGCACACACTGGTAAAATGCCCTGAAACAAAACATTGGAGAGGATAACCTGTATATAGTAAATGGTTAAATATAGATGAGCACATAACATACAGGAAAACAATTAGATGCACAAATGTAACCAATATGAAAACCACTGGAAAGTATATACTTAAAACTAAATGTAAATAGGAGACCAAAGTGAGGGTGGGACATAACCCCCTTGAAGTTAGCTGGGAGCTAAAATGTAAAATGAGAAAAATGGATCACGAGCAGAAATATTAATGGTGCAGTAGTGGTGGTATTAGTGTTAAGTAGTCTGCACATACTGAACCACAAAAACGTGGTGTTATGTGGACACAGTTCTATGTAACAAAACAAACTGTGTCTACCTGATGATGGCCACTAGTGGCCGAAACATGTAGCAGAACTATATCTGGGCATTGTCCTTGAAGTTCTAAATTGTTGTGTTGTGATGGTCAAATAAATAAGTTGTATAAAAACTCAACTCGGTAAATAAAACCAAATTACGGTATTTTTGTCAGTTAGAAATGATATTTTTAGCCAGATGTAGAAGAAATGATTGTGCACTCTCCTAACCCCAATACCATGTAAAATTGTCATGCCAATATTCTGATCTACTTGTTTAAAAAATATTTTTGTTACCATGATACAACTCTTCAATCTCAGTCACAATCATTTCTAATTATTTAATTAAATTCTTTACAGCTTTCTAAGTTTGTAACTGGATGTTTTTCTGTTTGAAGGAAAGAAACAGGATATAATCAGCACTTGCCTTGTCTGATTGGTGGCTACTGCCAACTGAGACACAGGATGAAATATGACATCACTCTTAATATTATCACTATGAGGGAAGATTTGCTTCAAATGCAATTCAAACTTTCCATTTCAGGTAGCCTATTCACATTTTACCGTGGCTGCTCGAGTGGGGGTGCACAGGGAGTGGCAGTAGTCAGCAACTTCAAGGTGTACACCAGACTCTGCAGTACCAGTCTGTGTAATGACTGGGATGGCGTTGCAGAGAACTCAACTGTGGACCATAGGGGTTCTGGGGACCAGGACTAGAGCAATTGTTCTCAAAGATTCATCCTATTACTGCACCTTCTAAGTCAACTACATACTAAAATTTTGTCTCCTATATTTGCAACAATGCTAATGTATACAATCATCATGCTTGGTGCAGAATCATCTTCCTTCAACTCTGTCCTGACATTACAAATGTCTGATGTCTGGATATGCAGAATTATTTACTTCTAATCATATACTCTTAAATTCATTCTTTTTTTGGACTAAAAGGTTGGCAACTCAGAAGCTTTAAATTTCAATTTAAATAATCAATGACCATCTTGTCTGCCTATCGTGTAATTAAATGGGATAATTCCAAACTTTTTGTCTTTACATTTTCATCCATATGTTAATATTTTCTGGAATGCAAAGAAGATTAGTCAAAATCTGCAAAAAACGGAATGCTGTAAATTTTAAACATTTTATAATTTGTGTATATTTAAAGAAGACAGCTCACCTGAGCCTTTTGTTCCAGAAAATATGTTACCAAGATGAGTGTGGTAGGATGGGGAGATGGATCTACACCTCTTGCCTTGTAGAATGACAACATTCTAATCAAAATTCTGTATTAGTACTGTAGTTTTTATGTGTATTGTCCTCATTTGTATATTCCTCACAAATCATCTGATGATGGATATCTGGGTCAAAACGTGTAAGTAGAATAACAAAAAATTTCTTTCTGTGAAGGTAAACCGTACAATTTTATTTTTAAAAATTTTAGTGCCTGGATTATGGTCCAGGCTGTGACCAAATACAAAGTTCACACAGACAATATACACAGTAAGTGGCTTTCCTGTGTTTCTTCTGATAAGTGTCTGAATTACAGGGGATGGACAAAAATATGGAAACACCCAACAAAAAACACGTTACCGACTAATATGGTGTAGGACAAACTCTGGCTTGCAGAACTGCTTGCAGTCTCCTTGGAATGGATAGAGGTCCTGTATGATTTGCAAGGGAATCTTGTACCATTCTTCCTGCAAAACACTGACAAGTTCTGTTAATGATGATGGAGGTGGACAGCGAGCATGCAGATTGCTTTCCAAAACAGACCACGAAGGCTTAATAATATTGATACCTGGCAATTGTGGGGGCCATGGCAGACGTGACACTTCATCACTTCATCTTCGTGCTCAGAAAACCAGTCTTGGACGATGTGAGCTGTGTGAACACAGGCACTGTCTTGGTAAATGACATCACCAGTGGGGAACAAAGTTTGTAGCATGGGATGGACCTGGTCACCCAAAATGGTCACATAGTCACTGGCAGTGACGTGACCTTGCGCGGTAATGATGGGTCCAACAGAATACCATGATATGGCTGCCCATACCATGATCGAACCCCCACCATGTTTCACTCTTGGCAGCAAACAATCTGGATCGTAAGCTTGGGATGGGGTTCTACAGACGTAAACTCAGCCAGAAGTCGGAAACTGTGTGAAGGTGGACTCATCCGACCAAATGACCATCTTCCATTGCTCCACAGTCCAGGTTTTATGACTTCGGCACCACACTCTCCTCTTAGTGGTGATCACTGACGATTGCAGGTGGTCCAGAAATACCCTGCTTGTGGAGTTCCCTTCATATTGTTTTGGTGCTGACAGGGTTTAGGAGTGTGACATTCAGTTCAGCACTCACTTCTCAAACTGCAGTCTTCTTACTTTTCGTCACAATCCTACACAATGTTCATCTGTCTCAATCACTCAACACACATTTCCATCCACAGTGGTGTTTATCGTATGCAGTCATAATCTTGGATACTATGCTTCGTGAAACACCAAAAACCTTGGCTACCTTGGTTACAGAAGCACCCACCATATGTGCCCCAACAATTTGTCTGCGTTTGAATTCTGTTAGCTCTGACATGATGCACTAAAAATTGCACAGAACACTGTCTCGACAACAAATGAAGCTTGTAACATATTGCGGAGGTTGTACAGGTAGTGGCATTGGGCAGATATGACAAATGTCACTAAAATAAACACTTCAATTCAGGCATGCATTTCATGAGGTGTTTCCATATTTTTGTCCATCCCCTGCAGAATCCTTGAGCAACCAACCACTAAGTCAATAAATTCCCCCAATGTACAGAAATCAAGGGTTCTTTAATGACTCAAACATTGAACCATATTCTGGGCTACTTAATCCAATCCACACTGCTCAGGTTGTGTTAAATAATATACTGTGACAGGACACCGGTGAGGCAGAATAATGCAGCCAGAGTAAGGGTTCATTGCTAGGCAACAACTCAGTAAACAGGCTCCCACAGCAATGAATGAGCAAGCAATAATCAAGTATTATTGAGCTATAATGATGAAAACAGTCTTTTATATTGGATCCACCCTGAAGCAATACAACAAGGATACCGGGCCAGCTAAATCAGAACTGAGAGAATCTTCTGAGATGGCAGTCAAAGATGATTGAGAAGAGACGGCAAGAAAGGAATTAGACGGTACAAAGAAGACTTCATGTGTGTTGCAGTTACAGTGAGACTCATATAATTATGGTGTTGGAATCTGTTGCCAGGATACAAGAAGGGAAGACTAAGAATACTAGTGTGTGCTTGCGTGTGTGTAATGGTGAACTGTAAAGTGTGTAGATCAGAGGTAGCCCTGTATGACTTGCAGCTATGAGCTGGGTGTATAAGTGCAATAAATCCAATCCAAAACTGATCTATAGTCACATACCACTAAATAGACATGAAAATATCTAACTATGAGACCCTGTGTACTACAGCCATAAACAGTAGCTTCCTTTTTGATGAGAGGTTGTTAGCACCTCATCCAATCCCAAAGATGGAAGGCGAAAGGCTATCCCACAACTTCTTGTTCAATGTAGCCACAGTTCACTATAATTTTGGATTGAAATAATAGCTAACAGTGAAATTTAATAACTGTCAGCATATATCTTGTATCTGAGGGCCAAATCACTTAACCACCAACTCTTATGGTTGGTCCAGTGGTGACTGAAAGAAATGTATTCCTGTTGTTTGGTGGTGAACTAAACCATGGACATGATGCTCCATTGCCGGTTGAAGAAAATGAAAGGTTTACTATATATAAGGGTCTGCTTTTATGTACACCCTTTTTCAAAAACATTTCCTCTAAGTAGCAACACCATTTAGTGCATACTGTTTCTCTATCAAAGTACCTCAACTGTAGCTGCTTTCAAGAACTTTTCAAGTTATTGCGATTAGGTATTTTTCACAGAGTTTGTACTCAAGAGATTTTAATTGGCTTTATGCTAGTCTCCTCCTCTAACAACTGTGTTTTGCATGAATCAAGAGATGAATTTTCTAAGCCTCTTCTTTTTTACTACAAACGTTCCTTCTCAATTTATTGCAAGCTCTTTCACCTCTATGCTCTTATGCTAGCATTTTCTTTATAAATAACATATTGTTATGAAAAATGTCGCTTGTCACTGACATCCCTTACTTTTAGCATTATAATACTTCAAAGATGTAGGAGATGTACACAATTTCCAAATTCCTCCATTTGCTGCTCCACAAAAATTTAAATACTATCCTCAATATCAACATATTGCACTAGCACAGAATGATATTGTTCATGTTCTTTTTATTTTGAAATCACAGACTTTTGTGGTTGTAATGCAAGGTCACAAACATGTGCCAAAGGCTTATTTTTATAGCTACAATGGGGCAAGTACAAACATTAAAATAAACATGGTAATTTTACCAAGTACAAAATATATTACCAGCCACAATATAAGAAATATCAAGTGATACACAATGCAAAATCTAAATCTCTCACAGTGATGAGAATACCGTATTTACGCATATATAGGCCGCACATTTTTTGCCAAAAATTCAAGAGGAAAACTGGGGTGCGGCTTATATTTGAAATCACACACATTTTTCCGTCAATGTCGAATTTTCTCCCTGCTGCTCGATTTTCATGTTCTTGTGCGTAACGCACCACTTGAAGTTTAAATTCAGACGTGTAACCTGCTCTTACTCGACCCATGTTTCACTCAGAACTAACCAGGCAAGTCAAGTAAAGGCAAAAAGGTTATAAATCTCCCCCGCAATGCCTTTGTTGCGAGCGGTACCGTTATTTTCGCTAGTTGCGAACTTAGGAACGTTAAACGTTGCCAAATTTCGGAATAATTTCTACTCTTGAAATAATATTCCAAGAAAATTATTTTTTCTATAATTTCTGTCTGAAAATTGTGCTGCGGCCTATACGTGCGTAAATACGGTATTCACTGTAAGGCTATATTAGTAACATGTAACACTAAAGAGATGAACACTCCTATGTGAAAGAACTATGACTGTAGAGACGCATGAAAGTAAAGTTCTACATATTCTCACATCTCTGTACTCCAATGTCAATATTGCATACACTCCATGTGGTCTTACCCTTGAGTATATTAACTATGTACCTATTGGACATGAGGCTAAATGGGCCCAAAGACTATATCAGATACAGTACGAATGTTCACTGTAAAGCAAATTAATACTTCCTTTACTTATCTCATTGCCAAACCAGTCAGTGTTTAAAACACAAGTACAAGTAAACCATACAGGATTTCACGGACACTTTCTCTCCACCTGTCCCTTTCCACCCTCTTCGTATTCCTGACTTGAGATCCACATCTGTTGGAAAGTTCCAATGGATGCCAAAATTGAACCTCCAATCCATGCACCAAACCGGCGTTCAGCACATCCATTGGCACTGATCAGCTTGAGACGCATACTGGACGGGATTCGCACAGACAGATCACGGTTTAAACGCTCTGGAAATCCCTGTGTAATATATAACCAATGTCAAGCAGTTCAGCTGTGTGACAATGATACCTTACAAAATTCTGCATAAGACTGTAATTAAACTCAAAATATGTAAAAATATAAAAAAAAAATCCAAGAAAAGACAGACAGAGGAATTATGGTATTAAATCAATTCCACAAAATAATGTTACTAACACCAACCATTAAGAGATCCTCCAAAAAGAGAAGGGTTTTACAGCAACCAAACACTGAAGACTACTCCTGTATTTTGATCTCCTTACTTGTTTGCATTATGGGTACCCAAACTGTTTTGCTCTTGCAGCAGTGTCACAAATAATAAAATGGATTGGCTTTGATGTTTTCACAACAGTGAGGAGCACTACCCTCTGGGATGTAATGCTATATAGTCCATAAGAACTTCACCAGTATTTTAAAGGAAGGTACTGTAGAGTTCTGCCTGCTGCTTGCTTCTTGCTTGTCTTGTTCTTCATCCTGGAAGACGAAGGCAGCACGTTCCTCTGAAACACTGGTGAACTTCACTGGACTGCAAGCCATTACCCCCTAGGCTAAAGTACACTTCAAGAAATGGAGTTTTAAAGCATGAGTCTATAAGGCTGGGGAAGTACAGAGGACACTTTCAGCAGGTCCCCTGATTATATCATTTTGCTATTTTAATACTGATAGACAGTCATTCCATAAGTGCACACAAATATTGAAATGAATGTACAATGTCTTGCTAAACTAAACACATATATATGCCATAGAAAATACATTTGTAAAAATAACTGTCAATATTCATACAACGATAACCCAATATCCAGTGTACTATAATATCAACAGAATGATCAAACTCACAAAATCTACTTATTGTAGCAAGAAAACTGTCAATACTGAGGCGTGCATTCAAATTCTCACCTGAAGGAAAGAATTTCCACCCGTTACCACAACACTGCCATACAAGGCGGGGCGCACATCAACATCACACATGCCCACACTGGTTGTCACAATGTGACCTACTCCGAGCATGGTGTTGCCCACGAGTCCACCTCGCATCTGAACCACACTAGGATCAAAGAGTGCCTCAGGGATACGGAAACGCTCACTGCCGAAGTCCTACACAATATTGCAAATTATAAAAATAAACAGTTTAAAATAAAATCAAGTACAGCAGAAATACAGAGAATTCTTCCAATGACCAATACGAATAAACACACAAGTGAAAAGTACAGATGAACAGAAAATGAGAGGAAACACACTTACAATTGATCATATTGGTGCAGGCATAAATATGTCAGTGTATGAATTGTTGGATGTAAAGCACTAGTTTTCAACATTCAGTCCTTTACATACACCACCGTGGAAGACAGAATAAATCCAAAAAAAGGTACACTTTTATCAGTCACAATGTATCATCAGAGCCATTCAATGTGAACAGATTTTGATAATGATATATATAATAAAGTTCTATATAAATTATACACTACAACGAACACGCAAGGAGGGATATAACATAATCTTAGAAAATTTGTTGGAAAATTTATAAAATATGGGAAGGAGGGTGAAAACATGCCCACAAATTCATTCAAGTAACTGTATGATGGGGTAAAAACATGCCCACAAATTCATTCAAGTAACTGTATGATGGGGTTAAAACATGTCCACAAATTTATTTAAGTATCTGTATGGTGGAAGAACTCAAGCAGTTAGTTGCTGGCTTCACACTGCGGCAGCCCGGGTTCGATCCCGGGCCTGGTCAAGTGGGATTTGTGGTGGACAAAGTGGCGTTGGGGCAGGCTTTCTCCGAGTACTTCGGTTCCCTTGCCAATATTCATTCCACCAAATTCTCCATCATCATAATCACCTGGGGCAGGCTACAATAGGCCAATCAGTGGCCACTGTGCCCAGTGGACCTAGTTGGACTCCACCCCCCCCCCAAGCGAAAAAATGATGGAAGAACCTCAGATTGAACACAAAAACAAAAAACAAACTCCGTGGTTTTAGTCCGCAAGCGAACTATACTGACCAACCAACTTCTGCTTGTAGGCGAAGTTAGTGCCAACTTTAGTGGATAGAGGGTGTCGTGTGGTCAGCGCAACAAATCCCCTCAGCCGTTAATTTCAGTTTTATAGACTGCAGAAGATTGAACACTCATATCAAATTTCCATGAGAGTTTCTATATGTCATGCATTGTTTTGAGAACTGTGGGTTTCAACTAAAGCAATATTTATTTACAATTATATTTTTTTCCCCATATTCATATTCCATTTGGCAAGTTGTTGGTATAAACAGGGCAAACAAAAACAACACACACTCCATGGTTTTAGTCTGCAAGCAATCTGACCACCTCTGTGGTCTAGTGGTCAGAGTTCCTGGCTACAGATCCAGAGGTCTGAGTTCGATTCCCAGCACTACCAGATTTACTGAGAAGTACTGGGTCTGGAACAGGGTCCACTCAGCATTATGAGGATAACTGATGAGCTATTTCAAGGAAATAGCAGCTCCAGTCTAGAAAACCGAAATTAACGGCGATGGGGATGTGTTGTGCTGACGTGACACCCTCTATCTGCTAAAGTTGGCACTAACTTCTCTGACAAGTGGTGGTCACTCACTCGGTCGGTATAAATAGAGTAAATCATTAATTTGTAGATTTCTATGTATATACGTATATGAAATGTGACTTGTGATTTTTATGCACTTTCTTTATTTGGGTGGAACTGAATCACAAACAATACAATACAAAAAAGTGAGTACTGTCAGGTTCTTACTTGGTGGTAACCACTGGGAAATTCATAGTGCACTGTGGGGATGGAGGAGACAGTCTTTTCGTCATAAGGGGTCTCTGACACCTGAAGCACACTGGCCTGGAAATCCTGCACAATTTTCTTGGTCATGTAATTGTGCCACGATGTTGTAACTTCTGGCACATTACGTTTCTTAACCCAGCGGGCCTTCTCTCGCTCCTTCACCACCTCTTTACTGCCAATCAGGTATGATGGCACCAGGTCAACGTCATTCTCCTGCAATGGGACAGAGCCTATGGCATCTCAACTTGTCTACATAATGCACTCTGGGATCAGGTCTGTCACACAACCAATACAGTACAACAGCAACAGCAATTTTTGGAATAACAGAACTTTTGAATTTCACCTGTTTTAGTATGTACAGTGGAGAGGAGGCAAGTGGACATTGAAATTTGCTTTACAAACCTAATGATTTCACCCATCGTGGATTCTTTTCAAGATGCATTATATTTATACACTAGTTTCTGTCTAAGTATGCAGATTTGTATCTTCACCTTCCAAAAGCTTCAATTCTATATCTTAAAAAAAAAAACTATAAACACTTTTCACCTGATTGGTATTACTGATTTCTATAGTGCTTCATGGGACATTCCTATCCTTGCAGAGCAGTTCATTCATTTATTCATTTTCCATAAATCCATACAGAAAACAATTTCAGAGGATGTGGAAATAGTCACAAATAAAGCAGTGCAATGTACATACTCGTATAGTCATACACATCAGTAAGAACATAATAAAGTAAGCACAAACGTGCATATTACTTAATATAACTAAAACAATTAAGTTACTGTAGTATGAACATAATAGTACTCTAGTAATAAAAACCTAGTAAATAGCAGCAAAGCAATAACTACAAATACATTCCATCAAATACAGATATGTACATATGTGTAAAATCATCCCTATATAACAATATAATCAATAATACTCAATTTTTGCAGATACAATACAATCATCTTTTAAAGAATTCCTCCAATGTATAGAAAGAATTTGAATACAGAAAGTCCTTCAAATTAACTTTAAACTTTTTTGGATTATTAGACATTTCTTTGAGGTTATAAGGAAGTCCATTAAAAACCTTTACTGCCATGTGATATACTTCTTTACCATATATGGCCAAATTAACCTGGTATATATGTAAATTAATATTTTGTCTGGTTTTTATTTCATAATCATCCTTATTTGTAACAAATTTATCTGTTTTTTATTAGAAACATAATTAATGAATATATATACTGTGATTTTAAAGGCAGAATATTTATTTCCTTGAAGAAGTCTCTACATGATTTCCTGTAACCACAACCCATCATCAATTGTATAACTCTCTTCTGCATCTTAAAAAACGTTTCAACATGTGACGAGTTTCCCCAGTGAATCAAGTCACGACTGAATGGAAGTAAGAATAATAAATAGTTTTCAAGGTATTTATAGACATAAGTGAAAAGAGAACATGTCAATTTCCTGATTTCTTTCAGTAAGTGCTCTTTTTTTAAATTAAAAATGCCATAAATGTGTTGGTCACCATTTATGAACTGTGGAGAAATGACTGTTTAAATCTTTGGCTATTTAGCAAAGATCTTTCAACTATAAACGTGTCACACAATTTCAACATGTGAAAGGCCAGTAATAATGCAAACTTATGTATTCCTTCCTTAGAGCAATGTTTTAAATTGTATTCCTTTCTGAACTTGGATCTTTGGACTCGTGTGATTTGTATTAAGCTATGAAACCCTGTCTAAAACCAAATTCATCTCCTGCGAAAAATGGTAGTGCTTAAGCTCAGGTTGGCAGTCACAGATCACCAAGGGCATTCAGTATCATAATTGGTTGAGGCACTATGCTACAAGCTGGAAGGTCACAGGTTCATTTCCTGATGAGGTCACTGGATTTCTCAATTGACCTAATCCTTACAATTGCATTACGGCCACAGGGACAACTCAAGTCTCTAACAGAAATGAGTACCAGATATCATCCTTGTAGTCAAGGGCGGCTGACACATAAGGCTGACAGCCTCACCACCATCTGCGAGCTGACTGTCTAGAAAATGTGGGAGTTTTGATGTCTCACAACCCTACAGTCCTTGAAGGCCTATTTCAGGCATAGTTCTTCCATTCTTTATTATATTACCTCATTATACTGCTTATTAAGATATGTGTGTGTGTAATGACCCACCCATCAGCTGCAGTTTATCCTAACACAGACGACAAACCTTGACTGATCAGAGTCAGATAGCAGACCTGACATATATGCCCACAGTTCCTGTGCTAAGAATTAAACAAGCATATCCTCAATTACTGAAATTTATATTTTGGTCTTGATTTCTGTAGGCTATATGAAACTACCCTAACCAAATAAACCAAATTCAAATGTAACTAGGAAACAGCACAAACGCAAGTATGTGGCAAAGGGTGACCAGTACTGTAATTTGCACTCAACAAAGTTATTAAGTTACCTGCAAGTAGTTCTTACACTGCATGCTAATGTAGTCCCCACCAAGTGGTGACTTAACAATAGCTTGTGTCAAAACAAAACCATCTTGAACAGGCACTGCAGATGTATGCGTAGCACCACTGTCGACGACAATGCCAGTAGCACGACCATTTGCAAAAGCAGCAAGGACGGCATTCTTGACGAGGAAAAATGCAGGGACATTGTACTTTTCAAACATAAGCTCTGTGAGTCTTTCTCGTTTGTTTCGTACATTCCATGGGGCTTCAGACATCAGAACTGGATGGAACTCTGACTCAGACTGAATGCATTTGGCATATGTGTAGTCCAGCACTTTTTCAAACAAATCCCAATCTTCAATCATACCATCCTTCATGTAATTAGAAACTTCCATGCCTTTTCGTGCTACATGTAGAAAGTTTGTATCAATATGATATTTAGTATCTGTTGTTGAAGAAGATACATTGGTCAGATCAGGTTTCTTTTCATCAATTTCCATTCCATCCGTCTTCAGAGTCGCTACTGAATTCCCATCTTCAACAACACCCACCACAGCCGGGATTTCCGCCTTCGGTGTATCTTCCTGAGCATAACCAACCCTTAGTGAATAATGCCCAATGTCGAAAACAAGGGCTCCTATCTCATCGCCGCCATAAAGCATACCGGCACTCATATTCAGAGCTCACAAGCAAGTTAAAGACAAAAATTAAATACTGTGAAAAATGTTCCTATCAGTATTTATGTTCATTAAAACGAATATTTTTCTTCAAAACAAACACTTACAAACCTCATCCTTCTACTCATACGAATACGCAGGGTACACAGGCTTACTACCCTTCTTTTTAATTTCATTCTCCTAAATTCGTTACCAACACAATATATAGACGAACCTAACCAATCTTATGATATAAATTAAGGAATTCTGAGCAAAATAATAATAGTCAACGCTATTTAAACCAATAGAAACATATTACACTTCATTTAATGTCTTTAAGATGACGCAAAAATAAATTAAGATCTTTTACTTCGTATATTTCACTGTTGGTCACATTGACGGATACTTGACAACGAACGTAAGAACGTCAGAGAAAACCAACGATCAGAGCCGATCAGAGCGTATAATTCGATATATGACTCGGATTTGAGGTCTACTTAGTGAGTAAACTGTAGTAATTGTATTAATGTAGTTACCATCGATCCAGTGTTTGGGCACATTCGAAATCATGTCTAATCCTATGTTTTAGAACCTTATTTTAACTAATAAGGTCTGTACGTTTGTGACGATGGTATATAAATGCAATTATTTTGGTTCACATTATCCATCTCCGTTTTTTATTTAAAACATTTCGGAGTCTGGTTACCGTTTCCACCGTGAAATAGTGCACAGACATACAAAACTAAGTACAGCAATACCTCGCATAGTCCGGGTAATCGGTTCCGCCAATATACCGGACTAACCGAGGAACTAAATACATGCAAAAAATTATAATTGGTTCCAAAAAAAGAATCTCCGTTTTTCAATAAATAAAACGCGAGTAATAAATTCAAATGTCATTATTAGAAATAATTAAAAAAAATCATGTTTCTCGCAATTCATTTTTTATTCTTTAAAAAATTGCAATATTGATGTCTGCACATATTTCTTCTTTGGACTTTTCTCTTCATATATTTCTTTGTAGCAACGAATCGCATTGTTTATCGTTCGGTGAATTGTAAGGCTATGTTCAATATTAGGATCAACTTGCATAATATGCTCTGACAAGGTTTCAACCATTCCAATAATTTTTTGTAGTTATTCAGCTGTTATTTCTCCTACAGGCACTTCAACACAGCCGTCGTTTTCTAAGTTGTCCTCCCGTTCATCTATGTTGTATGTATGTATGTATGAAGGGGTAGGCCTACTCGGCCCTTGCACTTAGACCTCAGTGGTCCATTGTGCTTCCCCTTTTTTAATTATTCCCTCAGCAACCCCACGCTTCGGATGAAGCGCAGGATTTTGGACGTGGGGGTGTCGAAATAGTCACTTGGTTCCATAAAGTACTGACCCAAGTGATGTAGTCTTAAAGAAGCTAAAGCCTCACATTCACACAGGACGTGTGTGGCCGTTTCATTTTCTATCTGACACCTCTCACAAGTGGGACTATCACTTAGTCCCAGTTTGAAGAGGTGTCCTTTGAGGTGACAGTGTCCTGTAAGTAGTCCTACCACCCATCGTAGCTGGTTCCTGTTGAGCTTCAACAGTTCCTTCGCTCTTTTATCAGAAGGTCCTCATATGAGTCCCTTAGCTTGCCTGAGTCCAGTTAAGGATTCCCAGTATTTCTTATGTTTCATGTTAGTCCAGTCCCTGATTGCCTGTTTGGCAACTTATAGAGAGATGCCACAGGCTGGTTCAGGTCCTATGAATGGATGTTCAGCTCCAATTTTAGCTAATTGGTCTGCTGCTTCATTTCCAGCAATACCCTCATGCCCTGGCACCCATATCAGTTGTACCCTGTTATGTTTGGCCAGTTCCATGAGGGTTTTGTGGCAATCCCAGACCAATTTTGAGTTTTCTTGTATATGTACAGTAGTTTTTAAGGGCAATGTCTCTTTCAAAAAATTCAAGTAGCAAAAAAAAAAAAAGGATTATTGAAAGTGAGCGCCGTGTTTTTCAAGAAAAAATGGGAAATCGCTTATTTCTGTTGTGAAATAGAAAGTAAAATTACATGTTTGATTTGTGAGCAAAATATAAGTGTTCCACTTTAGGTAATTATATTGAAATTATTCCTAAATAATAAATAGAATTAAATTTCCTTGTATCAAATTCTAATGTATATTTATATTTTGAAGTGTGGCCCTCGACTATTATTTATAGGGCTGAGGTGGCCCTCTGTACAAGTTGAGTTTGACATGCCTGTTCTATATCTTACGTGTACTGTGGATCTATGGAACGTTAAATAAATTGAAATTGTGGCACAGTTCAAATATTTTGGAATGACAGTAAAAGAAACAAACATACTCCATTGCCTGTAGTCCACAAGCGAACTATACCGACCGAGCGACCGCCACTTGTTGGGTGAAGTTAGTGCCAACTTTGGGAATGACAGTAACAAATAAAAATTTGATTCAGGAGGAAATTAAGAGGGGACTGAATTTGAGTAATGCTTGCTACCATTTAGTCCAGAACCTTTCGTCTTCTCATCTGCTGTCTAAAAACGTAAGAATTAAAATATACAAAAGTGTAAGTCTTCCTGTGTTTTTGTATGGGTGTAAAACTTGGTCTTTGACAATAAGGGGGGAACATAGACTGAGGGTGTTCGAGAACAGGGTGCTGAGGACCGAAGAGAGATGAAGTGACAGGAGGCTGGAGAAAACTGGATAATGAGGAACATAACTTGTACTCTTCACAAAGTATAATTAGAATGATCAAATCAAGGATGAGATGGGGAGGGCATGTAGAACGAATGGGAGAGAAGAGGAATAGACATAGGATATCTGTGGGAAAGCCAGAAGGAAAGAGACCACTATGAAGACCAAGATATAGGTAGGTGGATTATATTAAAATGAATCTTAGGGAGATAGGATGGGGTGGTATAAATTGGATTGATCTGGCTCAGGATAGGTACCAATGGAGGGCTCTTGTGAAGATGGCAATGAACCTTCACGTTCCAGAAAATGTTGAGAAGTTCTTGAGTAGCTGCACAACTGGCAGCTTCTCAAGAAGGGCTCAGCTCCATAAAGTTAGTTACATAATAAAAACTGTTAAAAATAACTAGACAATTATATGTTATGATAGAAGTCATTATTTACATTGTTTATAGGTACAGAAGCAGAAATATATTTTGCATAATACAATACACACGAATATGGCCCATATAGTAGTACATAATACAACTGTATTAATTATGCAGATGGAATCCATAATTGTTGCTCCCACTGCTCTGTTTTTCTATACTACATACACAATAAACCATTCTTATGAATTTACTTATATTCCTACAATACAGTTATTTATGTGGGCACTGTTCTTTCATTTTCATTTTCTTTACCACTATCAAGTCATTCTTCTACTTGCGCACATATCCACTGACCAAGGAAGAGCTTCCTTGATCAGTACCTTTATAGAAGTGTACATGTTAATTTTAAAGGACTCTGACAATGTTGTATAACAGTCCACATTACTAAGTTTTTGAACTTCATACATCATTCAGTATTCTCGGAAACGTACCATACCTGCATACTTGTTATTGGCATTTTTTTGATTTGGAAAAAAATTCATGTATATATAAAAATAGCCTAGGCAATATCCATCCAGTCCTCTGTAGCACAGTCTTATAAACATCTTGTTCTATCACAGTGATCACCCCATAATATTTCATTATATCTCTTGTGTCACTGCCATCTTTTGAAGTGACAGTGCATCAGATTCTGTATCTGTGGAGTTTAAACATTCAGTCACACCTTCATCCTTCAGATGATACATTTTGAATATGCACAAACATGAGAAAACTAATATAATGCAAGGAAATAACACAGAAGCACATACACAGAGAAACTATTTTACAGACACTTTTTTTTCCAACTGCCCTTCTGTTTCAAGAACAATGATCCTGTATCAATCACATGCTTACACAGTGGTTCTGTCATCCATACCAATACCTCAAGCATTCAGAGATGAAGAGTCAACATTATAAAGTTTATTTGTAACACTGTTCAATTTGGCATGCTACTTCACAGTGGCCCATATATTTTCAACTGGGTTAAGCTCAGGGTGGTAATGAGGCAATCTGAGTACACCATGTAACACCATGTTCACTAAAAATGAAATCAGTTCTATAGTTTTGAGCATCTGTGTATAAATGGAGTTCTGTTATGTAAGAGCCAGTCTTTCAGTCTTATTTGACTGAGTAGTGTTAAATTTAGAATAAATTTGTTAGGCGTTGCAGAAGATGAATTAGTGCCAAATTCAATTGATCTAGGCTCCTCAAAATTTTACTTTCCTCAGGATTAACTTATTCCACTACTTCCAGCAACTCTGTTTTCAGTTGTCTTAAAAACGGATTTGTGCTCCATCATTCACTTCGTCCTCCATAAAGCTATGTACAAGGGGCGACCCAAAAATAACCGGAACTGACCTGTTGCGTGCACATGCTTTGTAGTTATGAGTTGTGCTGCTAGGTGGTGTTAGCTGGGGGTCTCCCGCGACTGTTAGTGAGCTGGCGTCAGTCTGAGTTAAGTGGTTTGTCTGTGGTGCTCTGTTGTGTGCGTTCCTGTTTCAACCCTTTGGCGATTAGTGAGATGGCCGACCAGAAGGAACAAAGAGTGTGCATGAAATTTTGCTTTCTGTTAGGGAAAACTGCAGCCGAGACTTCAAGTCGTGGCAAACATTCACGCGGTTTTCTCTTTGGTCATCTCCGAGCAAGCGAGGAACAAATTTTGCAGACACCCGTCTCATGTGCAAACCTTCGGTTAAAATTCGCTGGACCGTGCTCCATGAGATGTTCGTTTCCTCAGAAAGTTGGTCAATGGTCTTTCGACGATCTTCATCAATTGCACGTTTGATTTTGGCAATGTTTTCGTCATTTCTTCCTGTCGAAGGACGCCCGGGGCGTGGCATGTCTTCTGTTGACATGTTGCCAGATTTGAAACGGGAAAACCACTCGTAGACCTGTGATTTCCCCAAAGCATCATCATTAAAGGCTTGCCGAAGCATCCCAACAGTCTCGGCTGCAGTTTTCCCTAACAGAAAGCAAAATTTCACGCACACTCTTTGTTCCTTCTGGTCGGCCATCTCACTAATCGCCAAAGGGTTGAAACAGGAACGCACACAACAGAGCACCACAGACAAACCACTTAACTCAGACTGACGCCAGCTCACTAACAGTCGCGGGAGACCCCCAGCTAACACCACCTAGCAGCACAACTCGTAACTACAAAGCATGCGCGCAACAGGTCGGTTCCAGTTATTTTTGGGTCCCCCTTTGTATGTTATTTATAATTTCTCTGAATTACCTTCTGATGTAACTTACTCTGTACTGGTGGAATGATGCAAAGC